GGCGGTGGTCCGGCGCTGCTCCATGCCGTTGGGCAGGAAGCCGGCGATGATGGGCACCGGCCAGATGAGGGCGGCCACGCTCCACACGACGATGACCAGGGTCATGAAGCAGGCGACCAGCGTGGACTCGATGGGCTTGCGGTTCAGCCGCCAGCCCGGCTCGCCCTGCAGCTCCTCCAGGCTGAAGTCCAGGCAGCAGAAGTGCAGCGGCTCGCCCTGCAGCCACAGTGGCCCGGGGGGCTCGGCTGCCGGGTAGGCGGGCAGCGCGGTGGGCGCCCCGGAGGCGGCGGCGGCGGGCCGGAGGCGGCCGGGGCGGCGGCCGCGCACCCAGCCGCAGCCCACGCAGAGGCGCAGGTCCTGCTGCGCGCCGCCGGCCGCCAGCCCCAGGTGCTCGATGAGCAGCGGCGGCCCGACGCGGTGGAAGGCGGCGGCGAAGAAGGCGCGGCCGTGCGCGTTGGTGGAGAAGAGCAGCAGGTCGCACTGGAAGCCCCGCGGGCGGCCCCAGCGCACGAGCAGCGAGCTCAGCATCTGCCGCTGCACGCTGATGTTGCACGCCGCCGCCGCCTCCTCCGGGCCCGGGCGCTCGGGGGTCCCGGGAGCCGCCGAGGCCAGCAGCCGCGGGGCGGCGGGCTCGCCCTCGGACGACGCGTTGACGGAGGCGTTGAGGGGCGCCCCGCCGAGGCCCGGCGCATCCGCGGCCCCGCCGCGGGCCGGCGGCAGCGGGCAGGCGGCGGCCAGCAGCGCGGCGAGCGGGAGCAGCATGGCCTGCGGCGGGCGCCTACGCGCGCGGGGCGGGCGGCGGCTGCATGGCGCACGGGCGACGGGCCGGCGAGCGGACGGCGGGACCACGGGAGCTGGCGGCCGGGCGGTGTGGGGGCGCGCCCGGCACCTGGCAGCCCGCGGGGGCGGCGCGGAGGCGACGGCGGCGGCGGCTCGCTCGGCACGGGGATCCCTCCCGGCCCGGCTGCGTCTGGGGTTCCCCGCCGCCCCCGGCGCAGGGGCCCTCGGACGGCCGGGCAGCTCTGCAGGGCCCGGCGCTCGCCCGGAGCAGGATTCCCCGGCTCGGCTCCGCCTCCCGCGCGCCCCGCCCCGCCCCGCCCCCCGCCCGCCCGGCTGCGAGACTCGGGGAGGGCGGGCTTCCATGCGCCTGGCCCGGCCGGACGCGCGCGGGGTGCGGGGCTGGGATCCTGCGGCGGGCGCGAGGCCGGGGCCGGGGCGGAGCGGAGGGTCGCAGGAGCGGCGGGGCGGGGCGGGGCGGGGCGGGGAGGGTGGGGGGCTGGCCCGGCCGGGGGAGCCGGCGCACGCGTCCGACTCCGCGGGGGAGGAGGCGCCGTGGGAGAACTGCGTCCTGGGAGGGAGACCACCCCCGTGTCACGCGGGAGGGGTGAGCTTGCGAGGTCTTGCCTTTGTGTGCTCAGCGGGACCCCTCTCGTTTTACAGAAGGGGAAACTGAGGCCGAGAGAAGGCACCCCAAGGCCACCCTACAAGCCAGAACCAGGACTCCGGGCCACTAGGCTTTCTACCTTTCCACGGTAGAAATCTCACATCTCAAATCTGCAGAGTTTGTTTTTTAATACACCTCCGACGCAAGAGACTCTCTTGGTATTCCTCTCAGGGCAGGCGGCGCCCTGAGGAAAATGCCAAGAACTCTACGGAGTTTTGGATGGAGATGGGCTGGTGGGGCTGGTGGGAACGGGAGCCTCCAGGGGTCCCGGTGGGAAGTTTCACTCCCAGGAAACCGCTCCTCTGGAGCTTTTGTCTGTAGAAGCCCTGTTAAGGGCTTCAGTCCCCGTTAGGATAGCAGGCTGGGGGAGGTCTGTCAAGAATAAGGAGCCACGATCGGATTTACATTTTAAAAAACACTTTCCTAGTAATTTGGCCTCTTACACTTGGGGCGGGGGGAGGTCACCGAGGCCCTCTAAGGGAATGTTCCTACGGTTTGAAGCCATTGTGTTCCGTGAGCACCAGCTATTCCTGAATCTGAGGCGGAAGGGGTGGAGGGCCATTGAAGAAGCAGCCAACAAAATGGCCCTCACAGAGGTAAGTTTCCTGATCTGAGCTACACTGCTAGGCATTGTGGCTGATTACGTTTCTGGAAGCTTTGCCCATTATTTCTAACAATGAGTAAAACCAGGTGGAGAAAGATGTGAGCACAGCCTCACAATCTCCCAGCGTACCTGGCCTCTTTCGAGCTGGGCAAGTCATTGTTTTGACTTGGCCTTGGTTTCCCCATCTGAACAGTGGGGGGTCAGTGGTACCTGTCTAGGAGGGGTGCTGTGATAAATACGCCCAACCCAGTGTCTGTCTGTCTGACTGTCCACAGAAGTGCTCACGTGGTGGTGGCTGCTATGATGTGCTTACTATGGGTCCTGCCAGAAGTGGCTGTCTGGAGTGGTCCTTGCTTTCTATAGAAATGGTTAGTTTCCCTGAAGCAGGATGGGACTCCTCTTTTGTTTATGCCTTTTCTGCTGGGAAGTGGTGCTCTCAGAATAGTGTGCCTTTTCATGCTTGTATTAAACATGACTCTTCCTTCAAGCCTTTGCGTGTCGGGAGCAGAATCTGTTGACGGCAAGTAGAGGGACTGAGCAGTGTGGCTAGTGATCAGCCCGAGAACGTCAGGTCATCTAAGAGCTGAGCAAGGCCCCAGCCTTCAAGGGGTGCATTCCAAGCCTGGCCACTGTGTGTAGCAGTGGGTGACACTCTCTAGGGTTTCAGCCACGGGTGGGGGCTTCCTGGCTTTGTCTGGGCAGCAGGGAAGGCAGCAAGAGAGGGAGCAGACAAAGATCTATTTGGGGGGGCGCCAAGTAGTTTGCTGCAAAGTTGTACCGCCATAGCCCCATGTCCTGGCAACCCACCTTCTGCCCACTTTTCCAGGACGTGCCAGGGACTCTGAAACCTCACCCTCATTCAGAGGGACAATTAAGCATGTGTTTTCTAGATTGATTTGCTGTCTTTTTGGACAATTGGAATTTGGGAAGAAAAGATAAAAATTAAGTTATTTTCCGTCCTGTTTGCTGCTGTGTTACCAGCAACAAGAAAAGTACCTATCACAGAGGAGACGCTCAGAACTAGTGGCATCTCAGTGTACGGAGGTTGGGCTCCTCCTCTTAACAGAAGTTAAGAGAGTATATGGCGCAAGTCTATTTTATCTTGAGAAAAATTTTCAGTTGAGCTTCTTTATAAAGATGCATGTTTTGGGGTGCCTGGGTGGCTCAGTCGGTTAAGTGTCTGACTCTTGATTTCAGCTCAGGTCATGATCTCGGGGTCGTCAGATCGAGCCCCGAGTCAGGCCCCACACTCAGTGCATCTTCCTCTGCTCTTCCTCCCCCCTTCTGCCCTCCCCCGCACTCTCTCTTTCTCAAATAAATTTTTTTCTAAAAAAGATGCATGTTTTATAAACACATATGAATATGTTATAACATAAAATATGGCTGATATTCTGTGCCATGCTCTTTTCCATATTTGAAATTCGCTCAGTTGATTTGTTCTTAATTTCTCTGAAGGTTCCATCCTTGAATATTTGTTTTCTAAGAGGTGAAAATTGTTTTGGAAACTGAATCCAAAGGACTGTCTTTTTTTTTTTTTTTTTTTTAAAGCTTCCATTTATTTATCTGACAGAGGGAGACACAGCGAGAGAGGGAACACAAGCAGGGGGAGTGGGAGAGGGAGAAGCAGGCTCCCCGCAGAGCAGGGAGCCCGATGCGGGGCTCGATCCCAGGACCCTGGGATCATGACCCGAGCCGAAGGCAGACACTTAACTACTGAGCCACCCAGGGGCCCCCACAAAGTGCTGTCTTACACACGCAATGATCTCCTTCCCCCAGTCCTTCAGTTCAGTTGACAAAATCCTGCTGTGATCATTCAGAATAAACAACATAGGACACTGAAGTTTGGGATAATTTTTTTTTTTTAACAGAGGGATACGTTGTTGGACTTACACACCTAATTCATGATCAGCTATACAGTATTTTTATATGAGATAATATGGGTTTGTACCATATGTGATAATATGGGTTTGTAACATATATAAACAATAATATGGGTTTACAGCATTAAATAAGGAAAAATTTCATCTGTATGTTTTATCTTCACAGAATAATAAAAGTTACATATCTAAAAACACTAAAAACATATATGTTATAAACTTACTCATGTATTACATTACAACCACATTGTGTGAAGGTTGGGAAACAGCGAGGAAACAATGATACTCCCAGTTACCTGCTCTCTTTAATATTCTGGATCTGTGTCATCCCTTTTTCCACTTTGCATATTCCCTAAAATGTGCAACTATTACTTCTGCGGGAAAAAAAGATAATTATACTAGAGTCTGACCCCCTTTTGCAACTGTTACGGCTTTGCACTCTTCCCCTCAGCCTCCGGCAGGGGACCCGGAAGGCCAGCCAGGGGCATGGGGTGCGCAACACGCCGTTGCTGACTGAGCAAGCTGGCTGGTCCAGAGAGTGCTGCCTGAGCTACAGGCAGAGTCCTGCTCCTGTGCTGTGTGGTCTCCCCACCCGCCCTCGGATCCGTCTCCTACCACTTTCCCTTCCCCTCGCCGGCTCTGTTCCAGGCACACTGGCTTCCTTGCTGTTCTTGGAACACGGGGAGCAAACTCCGCTTTTGAGCCAAACTCAAGGCCTTTGCCCCTGCTGTTTCCTCTGCCCCGGACCCTGTTCTTTCTGACATTACCTTTGTTTGCTCCCGTGTCTCCCTCAGCTCTCTGCTGCAAAGGCAGCTCCCCAGGGAGGCCCTTCCTGACCACTCGTGTAAAACAGTACCCAACGCCCCTGTCCCCGTCACTACCTTCCCGTGCACTGTTCCGCACATCTTCTAGTACTCACAGTCTGCTGACACGCTGTCCATCTTTCTTCATTGTTTAATGTCTCTTTATTGGGATGCCTACCTCCCCCAACGCAGGGCTTTATCTATTTTGTTCCGCGGAACAGTATGGGGCACATGGCAGATGCTCAGTAATAGTTGGCGAATGAGTGAATTCAAAAGACTGTGGGTCTGGCCAGCAGGCTGTGGGCAGGGTTTAGGTGAGTTGAGAGGGACAGAGCCGCACCGATGTCCCAGCAACAGGACTGCTGTGTCCCTACCAGCCTGCGCACCTGCCCCTGCACAGGGCAGAGGCCTCACCGGGGAACCACCTGGCTGGGCCGAGTCTGGTGTGGAAGGTTGAACCGATCTCACAAGCCCTGCTGCTGGGCCCAAGCCAAGGGACGCTTGGCAGTGCAAACTGAATTACTAGCAACATTCCAGATGAGCCCAGCTCTTCCTTCTATAGATGTAACGGAGAAAGGCAAATGAGGCTCCTTCCCTTTCCCCCAGTCCTGTAATTTTTAGAAGACAAATGGAAGACTTTCAGACATCTCTGTTTGGTTCCTAAAATCCAGAGAGCGAGTTTTTCTACATGGACTGTATTGGTAGAAAACAAGCATTGAGGACTTCAAAGAAAATAATTAGCAATGATGCATGTAATTTCATTCTCTTCCTTTCCGACGCCCCTCCCTGGCGTCAGCTAATTTTCCCCGCATACCGCCTATGAAGTAAGACTTAACAAAAAGATCTCTTTGGGTTATTTGAATTCCTTTCATCCCATGGCCTCAGAGTGCTGCAGGTACAGTAACTCGTGAGTCCTCTCCTATTATGTGGGTGGAATTAAGATATTATTCCCCCACATTGTAGACTGAGAAATAAGCAAGAACCACAAAAGAATTGTAAAAATAGGACAGGGAAGAGAAAGGCTTGGAAACAAG